ATACGCAAACAATGAATCATGGAACACTACATCAAAAACTAATGATGTAATGTATGGGGATTAACATAACAATAAAATAAAATTTAAAAAATAAATAAAATTTAAGTTTTGGGGGACAAAAAAGAAAGTTCCTAGTTAATTTAGGAATGAATACACATGTGTAAATAATTTGCAAATACTTCCCATTTGCTAGAGTAGAAGTTCTTTCCCTTCATTTTATCAAATTCATACTTTCCACTACAGTATCTAACCTACGTCCTACCTGCTATAGATTAAAGCCATCCAAAGGAATTGCAGGTAGAAGGGAATCCTTTTTAAGGTAACCTCATATTCATACAAATGTTAGCATCCTCCCCTTTACAGAACAATTTACCACCACAAGTCTTTGTGCCCATTCAAAACGCTATTTAAATCAAAAGTGTTTTATGAACAATTCCTCAGGTAAAGTCAAATATGCTTGTATGTTAATTCCTTCTTTAAAAATCAAGGAATAGCTGGATAATTATACTATATTTAACCACAGACTGGGAAGTGAGTCAACAATTTTTTCACTGTTAGCACTTGAATAAGATTAAGTCTGTGAATGAAAAAGAAATTGCATCAGCAATTCCAGCTGAAGCACTAAGGCAGGAGGAGAGAGGCCAGACTGCTTGCTTCCTTTCTCAGAAGTCAGTCCAGTGCTGGCATCGACCTCCCTGAGATCTCCTGATCCGTGGCTCTGGATTATTTTAAACAGCTTGACAAGTCCTGTAACTGGTCTGGCCATTACTGACGGTAATTTTGGTTATTAGCAATAATCACCCTACTAAAAAACTTCTACTTCCACCTCTTTTGTTCTGACAGGATATACTCTGCAAGGTCGGAAATCAGTTTCCACAGCTCCTGAAGATTGCTACCAGACACGCTTTTAAAAATAATTGTGGCGGAGGGGGGGTGCGGAGCAGGGGATTGCCTTAACCGTTCAGAAATTCACTGAAGGACTACCATGTACCAGGCATTGCACATAGAGAGGCAACGGAGTCCCCTCTTGAGTAGGAAAAGCATGTAATCTAATACTTTAATACTTTCCTGCTCAAAAACTTTAAATATTAAACAAATTCACATTTTTAGTCTACTTCCTCCGTCTACTGTTTCCTTTGGTCATTCTGTGGATATCAGATTATGGGCCAAAACATGGGGTTGAGATGGGGGGTGTCAGCCTTTATTTTGTTCAACCTCATTTTTTTCTTGATCTTGAAAGAACTGGGAAAGACGACCTTCATTATGTTGTTGTTCTGAAACTAAGAAGCAAAATGAACACAATAAAATAGAATATATGAAAATACTTTATAAAACTGTAGTGTAAGGTAATATTGAACCGAAAACTTACTATTTACAAATATGAAATATAAACTGTCAGCCTTAGGCTCTCCATGATATAACTAACCAGCTTTAATCTGGGCAAAGGTTACCTGAAAGGGCATCATAGTCAAATATCTTTTTTTGATATGAGCAGTAACTAAATATCCTACACTCACCACTAAAAATTTCTGTTGTGTCCTCTGACCCAACAACTGCACAAACCTACATTCCCAAAGTAAGGACACTGAACCGTTACTTATAAAGCACACTTTCCCATTTCTTATTTTTCATTTTCCAGGAAGAACAGTGGGTTATGATGAGTTATTCCTTTGTGTCTGCAGAATCTTGAGAAATGTGTTTTCATGCAAAAGTACCTAATCCCCAAGGAACCACTCCAACAAAAGTAATGTTCAAGTTACTTGAGCATTCTGAATTCGACTTTGACTCCTGATCCCCAGAAGGGGCCACTTGTTCCTTTCCACCTCAGCTGCACCACACCCTGGTAGCTATTTCAAAAACTCTTCTGCTTATTAAGACTAGATGTGCTAAATAGACGTCCTTTAAGCTGTTAGTGGCAAAGAAGAGCAGGCTGTTCACAGACTCACCCATGAGCACAGGCACACCTCGTTTAATTGCACTTTGCTTTATTGTGTGCTTCATAGATACTGCATTTCTTACAGATTGAAGGTTTCGTGGCAACTTTGCATCAAGCAAGTCTATTGGTACCATTGGTATAAAATAATACTCTTATACGAATCAGCAATTCAAAATGCCCTAGATCAAACAATACTAGTAACATCGGAAATGGCAGTTCTCCAAAATCACTGTGATCTTTGATTTTCAGAATGCTTGCATTCTTTATAATAGTATTTTTCAAGGTGACTAAATATTTTTTATATTCTACAGGGAAATGTCATTCATGAACCATCAGTTGAATATTCACTTTTTTTTAGCCAAATAAAACACCTATTTTAAAAGGCTGCTGGTATCTGGATAGCTATCTGAAATTGGTTTAATTATTTCATATATTACCTAGACAAGAAAGCAATTTTGTAACCAGAAATAGATAAACTACATAAGCAAACAACCTCTCAGACTCCCAAAGGGCTGTAAGGCTTAAAAATAAGCACAGTCATGGAAAATGTTACTTTGTATGGAAAAATTTTACTTTATTTTGTAAAAAGTAATGTTTTGAGTATATTTACTCTACTCTTTCAAAGTAATGCAAGTACAATGATAAGCACTGAGTAAAAAGTACCCTGCTTTATGAACTTATTTTTAATACACTGAAGGCATACTGCTTACTGAAGGTGGAAATATGGGATCCAATTATAAAACTTAACGCGTAAGAGTAAACACATACAACTGAATAGCTGTGAAAAAATAGAGGATTAATCAAAATATTCTGTTTAAAAATATTAAGTTCAAGTTAAGTGGGAATTTTATGCATAAAAATCATACTGTATAGTCAGAATGACTCCTCAGTGGTCATTCCTGAGAAACAAGTAGTAACTTTAGTTAAAAGTTAACACTTAACTTCTTTTTCAAAGTACTTTCAGAACTTCACTATTCAAATTAAAATAAAATATTTTAACAATTCATTCCGAAGACATGTTATATAGTTCTCAAGACATCTTCTTGTGATGTATAAATAAATCGGCTAGCAAAAAAAAGAGTAAGAAAAAAACAATCTAGGAAAAGAAAATAGTTCAATTGAGTCAGAGAACGTGTGATCTTAGATTACTGTCTTTTTTTTTTCCTCCTCATTTCTTTTCACGAAGCCTTCTGAGACTGAAAGAAACCTGCAGGGAGTTCACCTGGGTCTGCATTTTCTCTCAAATCTCTTGGTTGTGACACAGCACAGGGAAACACGAACGTCACCCTATTTCACCAGACGGGAATATCTAACCTCATTCGGCCCTGGGCAGCAATGAGTAACACTACAAAAGTGCCTAAAGTCTATAATTACTCAGGAACAAAGTGGACTTCTCTAGTGATGATTTTACTGTACTGTTTTGTTGCCTTAATACCAATGAACCATCAAAAAAAAAAAAATTAAAAACCTGAAATTCAAACTGTCAGTAGACAACCGTTTCAAAGTCGAGAGAAGTAAAGATAGGCCCAACCACGTAAACTCTCCCTCTTCCATTCCTACTTGACACAATTCATTTTTCCCCGTAATGATCCTAAAGAGAAACCCAAGTTTCCACCCCCTACTGCACCAAGAAACAGCGCCACCTATTTGCAGCGCACGGCTCGGGCGCTCCGGGAGGCGAGCGGGATGTCCGGAGCCCACGCTTCCGTCAATCAGCCTGGCCCCGCCCGTTTTCAGTCCGCGCGTGCGCGCCGGGGGCTTCCGGGGCCGCCGCCGGGGGCCCCGCGGGCCTGGCTGCGGTTGCGGCTGCGGCAGGCGGGGACGCCCCGGCGGCGCACAGTGGAGTCCGCTTCAGTTTTATCACTCGGGGCGGGGTGGCCTTCTTGTCGGAGAGCAGGACCTTGGCGGGGGGTGGGTGCGCGGCTCCGTTTTCAGCGCTCCCGGCCCCACGAGGAGCCTGGGGCTGCCCCGGCAGCGCAGTGCCCGCGGGGGACGGAGGCTTCGGCGGCGCCGAGCGCAGCGCTGCCTTTCCGCCCGCAGACTGGAGGGCGCTGGCCGGGGACACCCTGAGCGACGCCGAGTTCTTGACTTTAATTTGGGTGCTGGTGGAAGGGCCCAGGAATCTGACTGGCTTGGGACCAGTCTTACAGTTCACACCTTCGTTTTCCTCTTCATTGAACGCCATCAGTCGCCTGTGAATACAGAAGCATGTCATGGTCAGCGCTTACAGGTTGGGTGACCCATGGAAACGTCTCCAAAGTTTCATCTCCTGGGGCAAAATCGTTTTCATCAAGAATCTGAGTCAGGTTCGGAGGGATCAGACTACCTCATCTCCTCTCCCACCAAGGTCAATAAGTAAATCACCAAGTATACGTAAGATTATTTCTGCTTGAATACAAACTCTTAAAATCACGATAATGTTAATATGAACGACAAATTAAAATTTAGTATGTTACACTGGAATTATACACTACATCACTTGGTTCCTAAGAATCCTCACGTGATCTGGAGGATAACCAGGATGATCCCAAGTTGTTGTTTTGTTTAAGAGATCTAATGAGGAAGTTTACTGAGTGTTTCACAGTCCAATAAACTCTTTGAGAAATGCTATTGCATATTTTACTCTCCTCTTGAAACTTTACACTCTATATTAACAAAGGTTCTGAGGTCTCAAGTAAAGACACTTGATTAACTTTGTTGGATCCATATTTCCCAATAATTCTGTAATGCAACATTTGGCACCCAGTAAAATTAGCATTCTACAAAAGGCATTTTGGGAGCTGCTAGAATGGTCAAACCCATTTGAATTTTTGAATTTGAGAGGTACTGGACAAACCTTCAAAGATTCCTGAATTGAGTTTGCCATTCATGATAAAAAGTCTAAAGGCGGAGCAGTGTTTTATTTTTTTTTTTAATTTTCAAAAAATTCGATTTATTTAAACAAAAAAACCCACCCTAGTTTACCCATTTCTTCCCTCCCCCACCCCTTGCCTCTGACAACCACCAATCAGTTCTTTGTATCTATCAGCTTGGATTTTTTTTTTTTTTTTGCTCCACGTATTAGGTCACATGGTATTTGTCTTTGACTTATTTTACTTAATGCCCTCAAGGTCCATCCATGTTGTCACAAATGGCAAGATTTCATTCTTTTTTATGGCTGAAGAAGAATACACTGTGTGTGTGTGTGTATCACCTCTTCTTTATCCATTCATCCATCAATTGACACTTGAATTTTTCCATATTGTAAACAATATTGCAGTGAACATGGGGGTGCATATATCTTTTCAAATTACTCTTTGCATTTTTTTGGGATAAATACCCAGAAGTGAAATTGCTGGACCATATGGTAGTTCTACCTTTAACTTTTTGGAGAACCTCTATACTATTTTCCACAGTGGCTGCACCAGTTTACATTCCCACCA